TTTTTGTGAGCCGCGGAACCTCCGTTCCCGGCAAAGCGGGAAGCTTTTTTCATGATCTTTTTGGGGACGTTTTTTTTAAAACGAGGCCTAGTCCGGGAAGGAAGAGTTGCCGTGGCAACCGCCGGGATGCGCTTGCGCGGGCCTAGCATGGCGCTGCGGCTGGCTCCGCGGCGCTGGCTCGGTCGGCAACCGTTCCCTCAGCCTCCCGGAGGCGAAGGGGTGGCCGACGTGCAAGAGCTGCTGCAAAACGCCACCGTCGAGGCGGACGAGCAGCCGCGGAAGACGCAGCGTGCCGCCCCCGAGGAAACCTCCGTGCTGCTCTTCCCCGGCCAGGGCAGCCAGTTCGTGGGAATGGGCCGCGGGTTGCTGCGCTATCCGAACGTGCGGGAGCTTTTCCGCGTGGCCGAAGCCGTGCTCGGCTACGACCTGTGGAGCCTCTGCCGGGACGGGCCTGACGCCCGGCTGCACCGCACCGTCCACAGCCAGCCCGCCGTCTTCGTGTGCTCTTTGGCTGCCGTGGAGAAGCTGCACCATCAGCAGCCCTGGGTGAGGAAGGGCCTCTGGGTGGGGGAGACCCCCGAAGGCCAGGAGCGAAAAGAGGTGTTTTTTTGGCGGGTGGGGGACCCCGTTCCTGGAGCTTTTCCAACAGCCCGTTGCTTGCGGGCAGGAGGCTGGACTAGATGACCTCCCAAGGTCCCTTCCAGTTCTAGGACGCTGAGCTGTTTCCCGCTGCAGAAGACATCCAAGCTGTTTGATGGAGGTTTTTTTTAAACGACGTTTTTCGGGATTCAGGGAGTGTTCTCCCAAAATCCACCCCTGCAGCTTTTTTTTTTAAGTTACCACTTAAAAGTAGGGAATCCAAATTATTTTTTTCTGTGGAAAGTAACAATTAAGCTTGGGCATGTTAAGATCTCTTAGCACATTATGTTCTCGCCCAAAATCATGATCTCTTATCTCTTTGGCGTATTATGTTCTTGCCTAAAATCGGGAGCCTCCCTTGCAAGGGTGCGAAACTCCTTAAGGCAATGGTTCCCAACCTTTTTTGGGGTGGGGGTGTGCCCCACCAAAGCATCTCTAAAATCCTGATGCCTCCCCCGCTCCCCCTGTGACATATAATTCTTACTTTATTCAAAAAGCGAACTCTACTCATGCAGAGGAAGCCTTAAAAGGCCATTAACTTGGCTTAAGCAAGGTTCAAATTGCCGCCATTAAAAATCAAATTGCCCTTTCCCCCACCCTGTGGGGTGTGGGTCCCACATTGGGAACCACTGGCTTCAGGGTTAATTCTGTTTTAGGGTAAACTGGTAAACTCTGAAGAGGCAGATTAGAATTATTTGGATCCGAGCTGTTTGACGGGGGAATATCGATCAAAATGATTTTAAAAGGCTAAAGTCGATCTCGCCATCCAGGGAGAAGCTGTAGTATTTGGAAAATAGCCAGGTAAAGTTGTTGAGAGATCTGAGCAAGCAGTTTCTCTCTGGAAACAGACACATAACATATTACGGAAGGTCAGCCTGAAAAAGTTAACTAAACTTAACTCATGTTGCTGGAGAATATTTATTCTTTAAAAGGTGCTAAAAAAAAATCGGGATTTTTAAAACTTTTCAAAACTGTATGGCAACCCCTGATTTCTTAAAATTGCAACATAAAAGCTGAATGACTTACAGTTCTTGCACCGTTTGCTGAGCGACCATTCAGTTTCCCCAGTCCTGAATGAGGGGCACTTCCTTGTAGTTCCTGCCAAAACGCTCCCAGGATCGTGTGGTTGTAACCCAGCGGGTGAAAAACAACTTGCAATTACAATGCAGTATCCACAGTCACGT